GCTCAGAATGATGATGTGGTTCCCCATAGCCGATGATCATGATGGGAAGTCACAGGCTGGCTGGCTGACGCAGACTGGCTTTCGTTGCCTTTTTTTTTGCACACATCCTGATGTTTCCTTTGGCCCAAAATGCTAATGAGCCGCGTCATGGAACATTTGCTCTCTCTCTCTGGCTCTGCCTCTGTCTCTCTGTCTCCAACTTTTTACTTGTCCTTCTGCCTGACTCTTTCTCCTCGAGGAGTGTCGCACTCGGCGGCAGTGGGCAAAATTTATAGCACTTCCTGTTGGCGAGGGTCTGGAAAGTTCTCCTTTCAATTATATGCAATTTCTTCTGCTTTTTTATTGCATCCCATCGATCCGAAGTGGAATGCAGTGTGTGATTAACGGTGTACGAGTCCTTGGCGCTGGTGTCGTGTATGCCACGTCCTCTCCTGTCATGTCCTGTGCTCTGCTGTGCTGTGCTGTTTGCTGGCTGTCCTGCGCAACATTCTTCGCACAAACTATCGCACTTTAATTCATCTTTTATTTACACAAGAGACGAGACGAGACGACAAACCCGGCAATGGCGTCACACTGGCGCCCATCAAACAACAACGCGGAAATTACAGCAACAACCGCAACAAAAACCAACCAACCAACCCAACCAACATCCATGGGGCCAAGAGGCGCATGTCAAGTGTCGGTGGCAGCAGCAGCAGCAGCAACAGCAACAGCAACAACCACGACAAAATTACAACAATTAAAATAAAGGGGGGCTATACGAGTACTCGTATTCATGTTACTGAGGGGAAACCCTAGAGGAGGCTGATGAAGATACGTATGTATGTGGGTGTGTCTGTGTGTGTGCGTAGGGAGAGAGGCAGGTCGGGAAATGCAGCTCTATTACGTAGAATACACTGTGCAAAATAGGAGGGCTATCAGTTAAGAATTTAATAGTAAATGTGCCTTTGAAACCCTTTATCGGTGGAACATTCATAAGCTTTTTGAAGAGTTTTTTAGGTACTTGTTGTACCCATTGCATCTATCCATTGTATCTATCGATTCTCTTCAAATTTAAAATATTTGTTTCCCTTGCCTAAGCTTGTCTTCGATTGCTGTCGATTACTGTCGACTCTTATTCTTTTTCTTTTTGCTCATACATCTGTCTAAATGTCTGAAGAAATTGGACAAAAGAATTCTTTTTAGTCAAAATTTATGTCTATATTTCTTATACAATTTCAGACAGTATTTAAATAGAGGTCTCTTTAAAAAATGTTCCTAATTTAGTTGAATAAACTTGGCTGTTTTTATTCATACTTAGTACTTCCAGGAAAATTACTCGAAAATTAATCAAGATGGCTTCAATAATTATTTCCTAGAAATGCATATTCCGAATTCGAAAAATTATTTCTTTTAAAAATAGAAAAATTCGCCAATTAAAATTTCTCTCAAATATTCCAAGCATAAAAAATTGCAGTCCAATTTGTTGTGTGCTATCTCGAATGTATATCACAAAATGTGCATGCAATTATTTGTACCTCCAGCTGTAATTTAAAAGCCCTGTTTCTACCCATTTTGTATGTACAGTGAAGCCTGCCTAACTAGCAGCTTAGGAGATTTCTTAAATTTTATTAGCAACTTCTTCTTAAAGTCCTTCCCTGTATTGGAATGCCGCATTAATTAAAAGAAATTCAATACATCAAATTGCTTCTGTATTTAACGTATTTCTGTGTGTGTTTTTCCTGTGCGGAATTTTACCCTCTTTCCGACGGAAAAACAAACCTCACTTGTGTGTATGCGCTTTTAATTATTGTCGTGTGATGTTGCTGTTACACTTTTATTATTCCAATGTTGTATTTGCCAAAGGTTCCAACAGCAGCTCCACTACCCATGTATGCTTCTGGGCTTAGCACTCACATTAACAGCCACATTGAGCAGAAGCAAGTGACAGCTTTTAATTAAATAATTGACTTGTGTTTGTGCCTGTGCCTGTGCCTGACTCTGACTGACTGTCTCTGTGGGCTCTGTTTTCGCTTCATCCTGCCTTTCATCTGTCAATCCAATGGGACAACAGACACAAGATACAAGACACAAGAGGCTGCCTGGATAGGAGATAAGGAGTGGGAGATGGAGTGGGAGATGGAGTGGGAGATGGAGGGATTGTTGGATCAACAGTATCTAGATAGACACGTTTAATAGATGCTGGCTAAATGTCTGTCAGACAGATTGAGTTCATTGAAACTTTGCGACTTTTCTGACTCTTGTCAGAGCAACAATCGTATTATAGAAACAAAACAACTGCGGGAAAAAAAACTATCATAAGCTGCATAATTTATGGGGGTCGCCAAACTTTCGCTTCCATAGCCAATAAGGAATGGCTATAGTTGGCTGAGTGAAATGCTAAGCTCATACAAATTTAAAAATTTCCACCATACATGGAGTTCCCTGAACTGCCGACAAGGGTTGTCCACCCTGCACAAAGATAACGTGAATTTGTTGTACGATTTATGATGCCACCACAGACAAATGTTCCTTTGTATGGCACGGAGGGGGTACGGAATTGATTCTCGGCCAAATATCTTTGCGTTAATTGAGTCATAAAGGCAGCGGTTATTGATACCTCATTAGGCAATGCCGATTAACACTGCGTATGCGCAATATTGTCTTCCAAAACGCCACTTAAAGCAGCAGCTTGAGACCCGAAAAGCGAGTGCGTGCTGTGGGATTATTTAAGTCTCTGCCAGCTGCTACTGACATGTTCTACACAATTTTTAACGCTCAACGGTAGCAGCAGCTCCAGCTCAAGTGGACAAAACGAACTACACAAAAGGCCAATGGGCAGGCAGGCGGGCCATTGGGGTGGCTATGTCGGCTGTGCTGTGTCTGATGCGGGCCTTGCAACAACAGAAAGAATTATATATACACATAAAGGGTTAATTAAAATTGTATGATTATCATCTGAAATTCATTTGGTTGGGAGCAGGAGCAGCAAAGCCAACAACAAAAGCAATTACATTTTTTTTCAACATATCATTTTATTAGCCATCATTTTTTATGTTTTAACTATAATCAGATTATTAGCAGAATGTAAATTAACATGTGGTTTTTTAATGATCCTTATTTGATTAAAGTTTGTAATTCAGATTACAAATAAAATAGGAAAAAAAGGATATATGTATAAAAGTACCTACAAAAAATATTGAATTTTAAACACTAGAAAAGTGATAGGAATATTAAATGCGTAGCTTTGGTTGCTTTTCTTTCATCCAAGAAACAAGATATATAAGCGGGCTGAAAATGTCTGCTCATATTTTACTTACTGCTTGAAGTTTTTAGTAGTTTGTGCCAAAGTTCAAATTTATTGGATTGCCATTTAAATTAAGAGAAACCTTTAAGAGCAAGCAAGAGAATAAATCATTTTTATTATTATATTCTGCATATGTGGAGAATAACAGCTCTCAAGAAGAGCTTATTTATTTGGAATCCTGCCACAAGTATTTAAAAATTGTTGTCTTTAATGTTCATAAAAACCCAAGAATTTCTCCATTTAAAAGGAAGTTTGAGGTGCGCTTCTACTTCTTGAACAACATACTCCTTTTTCATTATTAATAAAAATGCTTCTCATTTAATTGACGCCAGACAAAGTTATATAAATTTCACTAATTTCAAAGTTCTTTGCAGATCAAAACTCTTCTTGAGTTTCATGGTCTGAATATTTCAAAGCTCTCACCTAATTAAAGTTCCCAGATGTGCAGTTTGTTTGCCTCTTAATTAAGTGGCTAATGATGATTGAGGCGCCTTTTTGGCATTAAAATAATAATAGTTTTCAGCAGAAAGACGACTTGCACTATTCCCCAAAAGGCGGGCACGTAGTGCAACTGTCTTTTTAACCAAATTTCGAGTAAAGTGAAGTCTCAAAGGCATGGAGAAAGTGAAATGCTTAAGGCCATTCTGCAAAAATAAAGATAGGAGGGGTTTCTACTCGAGACACGTGACGTCTTAAAAGTGTCGCCATTTTGCTTCATTCGAGGAACGTGACAACCCAAAAGGGTTGCCAAAAAATAGATATATATAATATACTATATACTTATTTGGGCAGGCCACACATACGCGACAAAGGTTGGCCAAAATATCATACAAATTTTGCTGAAAGTGTTGCAACTTTTGGCCGGTTGAAGAGACATTTGAAAAGGGGGATAGCCATTGTGGCATTGATGGATTTGTGATAAATGGACTGCCATTATGACCAATATGCAAAAATCCATCCAAACGTCAGAACGAGTGCCGATAAAATCTGAAACAAATAAAGCCAAACTATGCCAGTCAAAACAAGTGGAAGGAACAGCAGCAGGGGGCTGTGGGGGGGTGGTACAGCAGCAGACAGGCGAAGCAAATAATTGACAACAGCATGGGACAAAAAACTGCAATTAGAGTTGGGGCTACGACAGGCAGCACTGTGTATCTACACTGCAACACCATGGAAAAAACAATATTTTCCCATACAAGAAATCTGTCAATCGCAAAAAGCCATTTATCCTTCATAAATACGAGTATGGATTGTCCCAAAACAATCAGAAGGAAGCCACAGAAATCACTGAAAAAAAATGCATTTTTTTGATGGAAACTGTCATCAGCGAAAGTACACATGTACATACATTTATTTAACATACAAATGCACGTCGGTATATCGCGGCTAGGGGGAAACTACAAAATTCGATTCGTTTAACTCAATTTTTGTTGGGTTATCAATTTCTATTAAAATATAAAAAATATATATGTATGAAGATATATGTGTTGATGGATTTCGCTACTTTTTTTTTGTATATATTTTGGAGTGTTACAACGTTGCGTATGCGTTATATTCGCATTGGTTTAGAGCCATTTGTATTCCACTTTAATTGAATTTTATTTTTCGTTCGTTTTGCAAGAAAGACACCACTAAAAAAAAGCTAAAGGAAAGTGTAATTTAAAGCTAATTTTAATTGTTCAAATATAAATTAAATTCGACGAATATTTGGCGTACATCGACAAGGCAAAAAAAAAAAAAGGTTTCCCCACGGTTCGCGTAACAATGCATTTCCTCATATAATTCGGAATATTTATCAAATATATATTAAAATGGGTGACACTATCGATGAGGCGCCCACACCGACGCGACGCGATAAGCCGCAAAGTTTGAACATTAGCCAGGAGGAGGCGGCATCCTCATCGGAGGCGGCGGCGGCGGCATCCTCCTCGACCATTCTCATTCCCGCCTCACGCAGTCCGCGCACCAAAATTCGACTCGCGGAACGCGAACAAAAACGCGATCACTCGGCGGATGGACTGGGCACCACGGCCAGCTGTCGGGAGGAATTCGTTGGGCTCGAGGCCGCGCCGCGTCGCGAGAGTCTGAACAGCTGCGAGGCGAGCAGTCCCGGCACTCTATCCACCAGTCTGGGCAAGACGAGCCGGCTGAACTCCACCAGGTACTCGTCCGGCGTTACGGGCAGCGTCAGTGGCAGCATATTGGGTGGCCTCATGGGCGGCACCGGCACCACCACCCGCAAGTGCGTCCTGACGCTGGACGGGTACTCCTACGTAATAGGTAAGTGGGGCGGAGCACGTACAAAGAAAAGATTTAACAAAGGAGATGCAGAGGGGCAGTGAAGGGAGTACAGTGGGTGTCGTAAGTGATAAATGTGGGACACCATTAGGAGTTAGCACATATTTTCCAGCCACAGCCACTGTGCAGCAGAAGTCACCTTGGCGCCGGGCTGCCCTTTGTTCGTGCAGAACTCTGCCCTGCCCTGCACAGAACACAGAACTTGTCGAACAATAAGAAAATATAAAAGCCAAAAGCAGTCTTAAGCTCAAGTTTTAATTTCATTCAACTTTTCTTAGCTCTTCGATGGGGCATTAAATAATACGTACACTTGGCTATATCTATGCACATATGTCTATAACTTACGAATATTTTTCTATCGTTTCATTGCAGGTAAGTCAACAGAAAAGAGAAACCCAAAGTAAAAGTAAAAGCAAAAGCAAAAGAATAAGAAACAGATTGAAGAGCAATATAGCTCCTGCTTTGTGGCAGGCAGACAGGTAGGTTCCTGGCTCGTTGCAGCATAAATTGAAAATGAAATTGAATTTCCAACGAGTTGGACTATTATAAAAGTTAACTCTCCAGCGCTGGCTGCCCTTAGCCCTGCTGGACCACCACCTGCCCAGATCATTCGAGCCAAACGGATGGATAACAGCAATTCATTTAGGGGCGTTTTGCCTCTGGGTTTGAAGTATACAAATTTATGAGTAACTTTTTTATGATTCTTGCATATGCCACGCAGCAGCAGCAACAACAATAGCTTAGGAAAAAAAAAATGGAAATGGAAATTCCATTCAAATAAGCAAAACGGGTAAAAGTCTCTCTCTCTCTCTCTCTCTGCTGGGGTTCGGTTTTGAGTGGCAGCCTTTGTGACCCAAGTCTGATAGCACATGATAGCCTTCTGTTTCCTTCATGTATTTATGGTTGTGGTATGTGCACAGGTATTTACCCCATGCACACACATACACACTCGTATATGTATTACCCTTTTCTGTTGCGTATACGTGCCTCACTTTTGACCATAGTTTACAGTGCTGCCGGCCACTGGCAGTCTGTGTTCTTGGCTAATAAACTGCCAGCAAACCACAATGTAGGCACACTGTGTGTCCACTCTAGATTAAAATTCATGAATTGAATTTTCGTAGGAAGTAAATTTGCCAGCACTGATGAAATCCATTAGATATTAGTCAACAAACTCATGCAATTTCGGTTGGGACTTTGAGTGCTTCCAAAGGAAGTATAACTGAGGAGAAGCGATATTAAATGACTTTCGATGCACATTTATTTAAAGTCCAACGAGATTGATTGAACTAAACATTTCAGAATGTTGTGGTGAGCAACATAATTTCCAGTTTTATTTTTAGGATGATAGTGGGGGCGGCTCGGTCGTAAAATAATATCCTCCCTTGTCCTCCAAACATGAAGCTTAATTCAGGACAGGAATCGCACATAAACACATAGTGAGAAGGTAACTTTATTGAGTCTTGTTTTTCGCAAATGCTGTGCTGAATATGACCCTTGTTCTCTTATGCTTACCCTTAAGTTCGAATATTTTATTGATTTTACTTTCAATCGCTTTACACACTTGAATGCTTTGCAGCTTTTCCTTGCTATATTCATGTTATATCTCTCATAATTAATCTCGAAAAATAATCCTAATCGTTTTCCATGTTTCAAGCCTTAACATAATTATTTCATCTGAAAATAAGATTTGCTCTTAATTTCTTTATTAATTCATTCAATCCTTTCATGCACAACAAAAACTTCAACATTTGGTAAGAATTCAATTCGATTTGGCCAATTCCTTTAAGCCAAGGTCATGTACTGTGCCCCCCGCCCAGGCTCTCGTGCTGTGGCCTGTACGGTGTACGGTGGTGGCTCGTTTACTCGGTCACGTAGCGGCCACAAATCGTGCGGCGATTTTGAGACAAAGCCAAGAGCCAAGTCGAACCGCCCAAGTCCCTAAGCCACACACCCCTCGTTTGCAATTTTTGTTGTATACCGAATACCCAATGTCGCAGATTTAAAGGGTTTATTGGAATTTTTTGTGACGATGTAACAATGAAAATTTCGCTGAATGAATGTCTCTATGAGAATAAAGTTTTTTTATTGTGAGAACTAGGCCCAGTTGCAAATCATTTACTACACATAACTCCCTAAGCTTACATTCGATTACCAGGTATCGCCCAGTCGATATAATATATCTGTGAAATATCCTTTACGCTTGTTTCTTGTTTTGCCGAGGCTGTTGTCGTCGGGGCTGTCCCCATCCTGTTGGCTTTCAATTTATGGGCGCTGCAATATTTTGCAAATATCCTTAGCATATCCTGCGGCGACAGCGCAGACAGCATTGCAATAAATAGTCAAGTGTTTGACTCGGCCACGGGGCATATCCTTTTGTGTGTGTGTGTTCTTGTAGTGCCTGTAAGTGTGGTGTCTGTGCGTGTGTGTGTGTTTGTTTCGATGGAAGTGTGTCCTTCAATTGACATATTACACTTGTTGTTGGCCTGCCGTTCGCGGCTGTTTTGTCTTTCGCCCTTTTACTGGTTATGGCGCTCGATTTGTCTTGTCCGTCATGGGGTCGGGTCCGGGTCCGGGTCCGGGATTGCCTGCTATATATGTTTGAGATACACAGCTCTGCTCTCTTGTCTGGCCTCGAGCGCCGCATGGCTGATCAAGCGTGGGACCGACAAGTTGAACGCATTGACAGGGACATGGACATGGACAGTAAAACTACCGCCCTCCCCCCCCCCCCCCTGGGCAGTTTAATTGATGTTCTGCCTGGCAGACGGCAGCTGGTGCTTCTTGCTCACCCCTCCCTCTGATTTGCTGGAAACCCAAAAGCAAACGGGTTAAGTGGCTCATTTAGTTTGTGGTTCAATGGGTTTTCGTTTTGGGCATTTGACTAATTAGATTTAGATATAATGAAAAGTCCAGAAAAGGATAAAAACATAAATCTACGAATAATAATAAGAACATACGTATGTATATTTTTGGAAAGATTTTCTTAATTTAAATCTGTGTTCGGAGCAATAAAACTCAAAACTGGTGGCTAATTTCGTTACTTTAATACATCAAAAATAAAATTCATTATAAAATAAAATCCATGTAAATTATAAAATAAAATATATAACTCATTTCGATAAATAATCGATAACCAAAATTATCAACAACCACGTAGAATCTTAAGCGATATGTTATAGACTTTTGCAGCCACCTGGAGCCAACACAGATCCAAACTGAAGTCAAATAAAATGGCAGACCAATATTCATTCCTCTAATCCAACCACCAATAATAATTTAATATTCATTAATATTAAAACTCAGACAGGAAGGAAGTTGAAGTTGGACTAGAGTTCTTCTTAACCGCTTCGCTGGAAAGCAAAAGCAATCAGAAAATGACTGAAATACATTGCATACCCTCAGGCGCGGCTGCGACCGCATTACTCACATGCCTTGACCTTACCCAGCGCTTTGTTCTTTCTGGCCAAAAGCGACAAGGAAATTTCATCAAATTTGCATAAATTCCGCTCAGACACACAGAAAACGTACAGACATTTTTTCGAATGCTAAAGTATGCGACAAAAGGCAGCAGCACACACACACACACACAGATACAGACCACGCATAAAATTTTATAGGTGTTTGGGAGAAGGGAAAAAGTTAGCAGCTTTATTGAATTTTCCAGCGAGGCCCGAACAGGACTTTAAGGGATAATATATGCAACTTTTTTTCCCGCTCTCTCTCTCTCTCTCTCTCTGTGTCGCTCTTTTATGGCAATGGCCTCTCAATTGGCTATCAATTTGGCTTAGTCTCTGCGGACCAACTTCTTCTTTCAAGTGTCAGCGACAGCCATAATAATAAAAGGAACCAAAAAAAAAAAAAGGCTTAAAATCAATTTTCGTTAAACCCTTTTGAGAGAACACACACTCACACAGACACTCGCATGGACATAAAACTGATTACCAATGGCCCGAACGTTGGGAAATTTTTTAATTAAAAACAGTTAAAACTGGCGCCATCGCTGCTGCTGCGACTGTCTGCCAAATTTATGTACCCGGCAGCACAGCGAAAGAAGAACAAAGCCAGTGAAGTAATTCGACTATGGTATACCCCTTTGAATTGATGTGTTAAAAGTGCTTCTGTCTGCCTGTTGGCCCCACAAATATACCCCAACTTTTGTTAGAGTATCCTGGGGGGGTATACAAAAAGTGGCTGCTGCCAGTAACAGAAAAACACGCGCCGCACAGACCAGAGGCACAGACACAGTGGCTGTGGCAGGCTGGCAGGTTGAAAGGCTGCCAGAAAGGATGCCCCCGCACCTACAGTGCTGCTGTTTCTGCTGCTGCTGTGGCATTAAGGTGCACAGCCTCGAGCGGTACGGCACGTCTGCCTATTCTGTCAGAGATTTTCCAACATGTTTGCTACAATTTGGCTAACTAGCCCAAAGGCTTAAACACACATTTAAGCCCACCCACCCATCTTCTTGTTTGTCTGCGCTCAGATGTCGATGTCAGTGAACAGAGGCCCAGACAGTGCGACGACAACGATGCGTCGTTGTCCTGGCAATTTCGAGAGGTGTTCTTGCCATAATTTTGCAACTCAATTTTGCCTACTTGCAGCAAAAATCTGGCAAGTTTGCTTAACGAAAATGTATCTCCCGCAGAACTTAAATGTAATTTAAACTTTTTAAGTGCTGCGAACAAAACAAAGTCATGTAAATTACCAGGAAAGCAAGATTTACTTAACATTTGGTGGAGAACTTTGCTTGGCATTTTCTGGATTCATATTTCAAAGATTTTTTCACAGCTACTTAAATTAAGATATTTCAAGTAGAGCTACAGAGTTATTTCAAACGAATATCTGAGACCCAAACTCTGTCCTTTTGGTATTCTTTTTTTCCCATGAGTACTCGTATTTTCTGCTTGTTGGTAACCCTTATTTTTTCTTCAGTGTAACTTTGCTGTCTGTTGTCTTTGACTGTTTGCGCTCGGGTTGATTTCCAAGCACTTTGCCTGTAATTTCCACTGGCATATCCGTTTGCCTTTCCTTTCCCTCTGCTGCTGCTGCTGCTGCTGCTGCTGCTCCTGATGCTGTCTGCTGTCGTTGTCCCTGGCAATACCATCAACTGGCAATCATTGGCCCAACTATTCAGACACCATTCAAGGCCTGTCGCGTCTCTCTTATGCTCAGGCATCAATGCGTTAAATTTAGACCGACAGATGGCAGACGAAACTACTCGTATTTGAATGCGGCAAACAAATTGAATGAGAACGATGATTGTTGACACTTTTTGCCCGTTTCGTAGTGAATGGGAAAATGGGCTGCCCCTCCTCCATCCTTTTGCTGCACACTCTCTCTGTGTGTGCGGGGGTATCTGCTACTTTTTGTTGCACTCTCAGCAATCCGAAGGCGCTTTCAGCACTTTCCAGCGCGCTCTCCCTCTCTCTCTCTATCTCCAGCGGAGATAATTTATCAAGTTGGTTCACGTTCAAGTGCAGTGCAGTCTGCAAAGTTGCTGACAAAGCGGTTCGGTTCAAGCACGGATTTGTAAAACGATACGGAGGAATGCGAATGCGAATGCGAATGCGAATGCGGATGCAGTCGTTGTCACAGCGGGATAATACTTACATTTATCTGCCATAACAGAGTGTCAAAACGAGGACTGCTGCTGTTTTTACACACTTGGAATAGTTGAACAGCATGTGGGGGGGGAGTCGAAACGAATAAAAACTTGGACATTTGATAGTGGAAGAGAAGGGGCATGAGGACTAGCTAAGATATAGATTGATGGTGATGGCTTAAAAATAATTTGTACATTTTTAGATTGATGATTATAGCTTCAAACTAATTTGTACAACTTATTTTTAAGACCATAATGATAAATTAAACGAATGTTTGCCATATTTCAGCATTAATAATTTAAAAAGATTCATTGATTGCTTACGTGAAGAGACTAAAAGAGATTTCCGACTATCTGCTATTAATCTATAAATTAATTCATGTTTTTACAAACTTATTAATGCAAACAATAGCTAAATAAAATTAAAGGGAAGCCCTCCGTTCCATGCCTAGCGCGGAAACTCTTGACAAAAATCATCTGTCAGCGCCCCCACATTTCCACTTGACGGATCTACTGCTGGAGGAAATTAAATTTGCAAATCCCATTGGCCACATTCAACCGTTACCAGCCCGCCAACTGTTAATGACATTTAATCTGATGTTCGTTTTATTAATTAATTAATCAATCAATCAATCAATCAGCAAACAAGCAGCCAGTCAAACACTGGGAACTGGAGAGAGCTGGAGAAATCAGTCAAAAGCGATGCTGATTGATATTCACTTTGGTCCATTTGTGACGCCACAAATTGTAGAACAGCAACGCCACTAGAATCACTTGGAACGACTTAATGAGCTGTTTAACCAAAGTGCGTCGCTGTGCGCTGCAAATATTGACAAAAAAGGATAATGGATGGAGTGGCTAAAATAAAGAGTTGTCCAAAGCAGGCAGACACAGACACATAGACAGAGACTCACCTCATTACCGTTGAGCAGCGTTCGCTTAACACAAGACCCTCGCCCGGTGGCAGATTAAGCTCGAAGGCCACCGCCAGAAGGCTGTCGCTGAATTATTCAAATAGTTTATATTTAATACTTCCACTCAATACCAGAGACCAGTGGGATATACGAGACAGATAGAGTGAGTGAAAAGCAGCGGGGGCAGACAGCAATATATCTTTTAATCCGTTGCACGCCTCAGGCTCTGGCATCCTCCTGTGCGACGTGGCGCATGGCCAATGAAATGTTTAATGCCTTAAGCCCTGTTCAATGTGCTGTGTTTTAATTGCGGAAATTATGAAAATGGAAAGTGCAAATAACTATTAAACTCCATTTAAAGCTTACAAATTTATTTTTGTATATAATTTTGCCAACTCTTGATTGTGGGCAGAAAATTAATTATTTGACTACCAAAAGGATAACTATGTCAAGCTGAAAGTTTTGCCCAGAACAGAAAAATATTAAATGGCTTCGGGGATTTTTGAGAATATTTAAAAAAACTGATAGAACATTTTATTCCATTTTTGATTGAATATAAAAGTATGATATTTAATTTAAACCAGTTTTAAATTAATTTCAAACAAAATTTTAAGCCCCTTTCGTAGTTCCTATCCTTGCTTTCAAGTGCACGATTATAATTTATTTTTTCCGCTCCTTTGCACCTTTTAAAACATCAAAAAATATATCCTTCTGAAGAGGATATAAATAGAAAACCTAAATACCTAAATATGTTCTGTCAAAAAACCTGCATAAAGTAAAGGAACTCTGTATAAAAAAAAAGATCTTAAGCTACCATCAATTTTCGAACAATTTGCAACTATTAGACAGACTCTTATCTAAACAACTTGTTGTGGAAATTTTCTAGGAGGCAATCAAAACTTTCCAACAAGCTATTGAACGTACACTCGGGATAAAAAGTTTACGATAGTTGCACCAATTCACAAACATTTAATTCAGTTATTAAGCGACATTTACAACAACAACAAAAAAAAGAAAACTTTTTGCATCCCAAAGAGAAATGGGAAGTGGGAAATGGGAAGTGAAATGTGCTACATAAATCTTTTTGCTGGCTGCCATGGCTCTGCATCTTTGTCCACATACATGAAAAATTACATTGGTCAAGCGAGCAGCAAAATTGGCAAAGTCCTGGGCAAAATGCCAGGCCACCGGCGACGATGTGTGGCCACTAGTTCCGGTTGGGGTCCCCGGCCCTTCATTAGCTTTGAATTCAATTCCTTTTTGGTACTGACCGCCCCGAATGGAAACTCGCTGTAAAGTCATTAATTGTCCACACATTTTGTATTCAATCGCGTGACATTTTGAACTGGAAATGCAATTAAAGAGGAACAGCAGCAGCAGCGGCAGCGGCGGAGTCGACTCCTAGACGAGTCGGCAGACGAGACCCTCGTGAGCAGCCAGGGACAAGGCACTTGCGGCCAGGAATTGACTGAGAAAGCGGGGAAATGCATGAGGGTAGGCATGAAGGGAATCCATCCAAAGTTGTTCATTGAACTTACCCGGGCTGATATGCGGACGCCACGCCAGCTACTTCCACAACCAGTTTCTTGGGCTGATTAAGAAACTCTGAGAGATTGACCAGCTGCTCCTTGTCACTCACATTCACAATGGTAATTATCGAATCAAAATTGGCAAACGATCTGCATGGATTATCTGCTGTTAGTATCTTGGATTTTGGGTTCAATATTTTCACATACCTCTTCGAGGCAAACACCCAGCGGGAGATGGGCTCTATGGTGAAACGTCCCAGTCGCATTATCGCTGATTTCCGCAGCTCAATGAGCGCTTTATAGACCTTGTAGTGACTCTTGGGGGCTTCTTTCTGTGCCGCCAAATTCAGTTCCAGATAATTGGGATGCACAGGCAGCCAGGTTTTGGCAGCTTCGGAGAAACCTGGTGGAAAGTTAATGAAAATAAATTTGTTCCATGTTTTCTACCACCTACCGCCATTGCTGCCGTTATTCCATTGGAATGGTGTTCGCTCTGGATCCCTGGATACGTCCTTATAGAGCTTCTCGCCCACATTTCGTGCAGGCGGATCCACAGTGTCCTCCCAGCTAATATCGCGATAGTCCTGCATGCCCAGCTCCTCGCCCTAAAATACGACCAAAAACAGATAGCCCCACAAGTGACCTTTGCGGAGTGCATCACAACTCACATTGTAGGTGACCGCAACGCCGGGCAGTGTCATCAGCAGCATGTTCATGGCATCCACCGAGGATGGGCCGAAACGGGAGGCGACACGGGGATTGTCATGGTTGCCCATGACCCAGTTGGCCGCGTGCCCACGTGGCATGTAGATCAGCCACTTCTCCACATTGTAGACAAAGTCACGCGCATCCGAGTCGCCAGTCACATCCGTGATGAAGTGAAAGTTGAAGGGCAGATGCGAGCCCCGCACCCCATGCCGGTCCTCGTAGTAGTCCGCCAGTGTCGTGAGTTCCGCATACGCCTCCGTCATCATGATCCGAGTGGGACCGTTGGGATTTTTGGAGCTAAAATCATCGAGCAGCTGGCGCCAGTGCTGCACCATGTCGAGCACCTCCGGCAGATCCTTGGTGTAGATGTGTCTGGTATAGTCATACGACTGCGAATCATTGGTCTTGCCACTGAGCGGCTCATCGTCCAGCGACTCCTTCTCGAACATATGATTGACCGCATCGATGCGGAAGCCGGCCACGCCCTTGTTCAACCAAAAGAGAATGACATCGTCCATGGCCTGGACCACAGCGGGATTGCGATAATTGAGATCCGGCTGCTCCTTGGTGAACTGATGCAGGTAGTACTGCTGCCGTTTCTCGTGCCACTCCCAGGCCGAGCCATAGAACACCGATTGCCAATTGTTTGGCGGCTGTCGCTCCCCGTTCGCGTCGATCTTTGGATCCACCCAGACATAGTAGTCCTCGTAGCCCGGCTCCTTGGCCGCCGACTTCTTGAACCACTCATGCTCATCCGAACTGTGATTGGGCACCAAGTCGAGTATTATCTTGATGCCCAGCTCATAGGCCCTGTCTATCAGCGCATCGAAGTCCTCCATGCTGCCGTATTCCGGCTGTATCTGCCTGTAGTCGGATATGTCGTAGCCAAAGTCCACCATCGGTGACTGGAAAATGGGACTCAGCCAGGTGGCTGTGATGCCCGTCTCTGCGAGATATTGCAGCTTCGATGTGATGCCCGGTAGATCGCCAATGCCATCGCCATTGCTGTCCTTGAAGGATCTCGGATAGATCTGATAGAAGACTGTGTGCTGCCACCAGTCTATAAAGTCCTCCGTATCGCTCTTTACCAGGCTGGCCATACTGCAGCTCGGAAACAGCAGCAACGCCAGCAGCAGACTGAAAAGAGGAATCCGGAGTCGGATAAGTGGAACGTACCGCATTTTGTTTTGTTCTGTGGTGCGCAGCCGCTTTCGCCGTCACTTTTAAACCGATTTCTAAACCAGTAATTAAAATAATTCTCGTATTGTTAAACTAAAATAAAAGGCACTTTTTTTTTGTGCACTGATCATAATCAATTGGCGACGCTTTAATGGAGTGCCAGTGCCAGTGGCACTGCCGCCAATCTGCTTATCAACTGAACTTCTAACAAAAACAAATTGCGAAACAAATTAAATGAGTAAACAAAATTCACGTTTCGATGCACATTTGGCCAGCGAATACTCGTATATTATTGTCGTACCGCTACTCATGCCGGGCTGAGCGGCAGAGCTTTGGCTTTTTATAGAAATTGTCATCGTATCATTCCCGACGATCTTTTCTCTTTTTGCTCACTCACTCACCTCCCTCAAAAAACACACACAAATTATATTACAATTAAGCAAGTTCTTGCGTCGAGCAGCTGCCGGCAGCGAGTCACCGAATGCTTTCAATGGATCGGATCCAATCATCTGCTCTGCTCTGCCCCGCTGTTCTGTGCTGCTCTGTCAGCTGATCGCGAGCTTTCAGTCCACAACTAGAGCAGCGCAAGGCAAAGCATGGCCAGGGGTTGGCCGATCGTTAAGGTGACGCAGACTTAAAGGTTTTACTCTGCTGTTCAGCAGTGAAGTTATTAATATTTTAGGTTTAACTTGTTACTTGTTGCACTAGAAATAAATCGATACGAAATACAATTATCTCTCAGTATTTTAACCCATCAGATATATTGTTAAACTCACAGGCAATTCGAATATTCTGATGTCACTCAGGCGTTCGCTTGTTCTGACTACCCTTCCGTTTATAGTACCTGATTAGGAGCATACAATCCACAAACAATTGACACAAGAACCACAAATATTTAAGCGAGAACCAAAACGCGTCTGCAATCACGAAAGGGGAATTTTAATTAAAATCAGCGACAATTAATCAACAGTGTATGCCGTTGACATTTATGGGTTATTCGAGCTCAAATCGTAGAGCAAAAGAGTAAATTTTCGGTGAAAGTGCTGGCAGAACGTAGCACGTAGTGCCCAAAAGGGCACAGATAAAGGTCTTGGCTCTGGCAATTGCTTTGCTTTACTCTCTCTCTCTCTGTTCCTGTCTCTAACTCAATTAAAATGGTTTCTAAAGCGTTGAAATGCAAATGCAAATTGGTTTTTGCTTTTTGTTTTTTGCTGTTGCTGTCATGGAATGGAATGGAATGGAAACTCAAATTAGATTGGCTGCTCGAGATACATTTTAAAACGAAAATAGAAAAGCTGCATTATAATTTATGTAAAATACAACAAACAAACAAAAATTGTATGCTAATTATTTTCGCTTGGCCAACTGAATGACCAGACCCTCATAGGGTGCCAGAGCGATGGCCTGCGGATTGAGCCGTTCGCCCACACGATGCTCCGAATCGACACCAGCGACAAGGACATTCAACCGATTGGGCAAATCAATAAAATCACTTATGTCCACCTGTTCCGTTTGGTTCTTCACATTGAGGATGGTCAGTAGTGTGTTTTGGCCCTTGATTTCACTGAAAAATAAATGAAAAGATTTATAGAAGAGTGTAATCTGTTGGGAGTTCTATCTCTACGTACCGCTTGAAACCGAAGACCCTGCGATTCACCACACCTGGCAGGAATGCACCATTCTTCAGTGCTGGCAGCTGTCGCAGTTTCAGCAGCGACTGATAGACCTTGTAGTGACTGCGCTGGGCCTGCTGCTGATTGCGCAGATTGAGTTCCTTATAGTTGGGATTGACGGGCAGCCAAGTGGCGTTGGCAGTGGAGAAGCCAGCATTCTCCCCATCGCTCCACTGCATGGGTGTGCGCTCGGGGTCGCGAGAGATCCACTTGTAGTTGTCAATGCCAGCCTCACAGGCAGGCTGATCCACAGTCTGCTCCCAGCTAATGTCACGGTAATCGGTCATGCCCAGTTCTTCGCCCTAAAAAAAAAAAAGAGAGTTGAATCTATCAGATAGATCCACTCAGATCGATATCCATGTACCCACATTATAAGTGACACCAATGCCAGGCAGCGTCAACATCAGCATGTTCATGGCATCCACGGTCTTGACACCGAAACGCGAGGCCACACGCGGATTATCGTGATTGCCCATCACCCAATTGGCCACATGACCACGGGGCATATAAGTCAGCCATCTCTGGATGTAAAAGACGAAATCCGCTGCCGAGGAGTTGGCATTCAGTTCGGTAATGAAATCAAAATTAAAGGGAAACTCTGGCCCCTTTATGCCCTGCGCATCCTCGTAGTAGTCCATCAGCTGCGCCAATGGGGCATAGCCCTCGGTCATCATTATCCTGAGTGGACCCGCATGGCTGCTCGAGTAGTTGTCGAGGAGCTGTCGCCAGTGCTGCAGCAGGCCGTAGCCATCCTTCTGGTTCTTCGTGTAGATGTGATCGAGATAGTCATACGAATTGGGATCGCTGGTGGTGCCGCTCAGCGGCTCATCCCTCTGCTGTATATCCTCGTAGATGTAGATGATCGCATCGATGCGGAACCCAGCGACTCCCTTGTTCAGCCAATACAGCAAAGTGTCGTCCATGGCCTGCACCACGGCCGGATTGCGATAGTTCAGATCCGGCTGGGCGTAGGTGAACTGCCGCAGATAGTACTGTCCCCTCTCCTCGTTCCACTCCCACGCCGAACCGGAGAAAACGGATCGCCAGTTGTTGGGCGGCACACGAGTGCCATTCTCCAGCAGTGTACCGTTCTCCCAGACGTAGAAATCCTCGTAGCCAGCCTCCCGGGCAATGGACTTGAGGAACCACGGATGCTTATTGGAGCTGTGATTGGGCACAAAGTCGAGTATGACCTTGATGCCCAACTGATTGGCCTTCGCTATCAGTGCATCAAAATCCTCCAGGCTGCCGTACTCCGGCTGAATGTTTGTGTAGTTGGAAATGTCGTAGCCGAAGTCCACCATGGGCGACTCAAAGATGGGACTCATCCAGACGGCCGTAATGCCCGTCTCCTTGAAGTACTGCAGCTTGGAGGTGATGCCTGGCAGATCGCCAATGCCATCGCCATCGTTGTCCTGGAAGGATCTCGGATAGATCTGATAGAAGACCTCGTGCTGCCACCAATTGTTCTTGGCATCCAGCGCCTGTTGCTCCTTCTTCGATGGCCCGGCCTCAGCCAAACCCACAACTAGGCCCACACTCACCGCTAGGGCAATTACTTTCCCAAAACCCATCATTGTCACTGGACAACTGAGTTCTCTCCCGTACCCTCGCACTTTACAGCCCTTTTATACCTTTGGCCGGCCGCTCAATTCCGGTTTTATTTATTTGCTCAAGCATGGCGATCGCCACTCAAATATTGAAACAACTGTCGGGCATTGTCAAGTATTTGTTCCGTTCGTGAAGGGAATACTCGGACGACTCCACTTACCATGTAACAAACTTGAACTTGTTTGCTAATGGAAACTTCTCTCCAAAGCACGAGAAAATGTGTCACCTTCAAAATGATTGAATAAAGGGAACGCAAATTTAAAGGAAATATTTATACTGGTATATTTATTTTATACCATTACTGGACGTAGTTTAGGTATAAAAGTTCATTTTGGGTTTCACTTAGGGGTAGAAAATAATATAATTTGAGATAGAAGTAGAGGTAGAGCATCGCCCAAGCGACACCAAACGGAAGCTTCTGAAGCGGGAATCCCAGGCAGAAGCCCATAACCACCGAGGAGCGGTGCTACATGACGCATGACGCGTTTAACCAAATTAATCACGTTGAAGTAAAATAAAAGAAAAGGTTTTGGCTCGAAATTCGGTTATAAATGGCAACATAAATATATATAATAATAAAATAAAATAAATAAATAAAATATATATAAATAATTTAATATATAAAATATATAAAAAGCGGGAAGGTGTCTCTAGGTAGAAATAGTAATCCAGATGAAGGGAAATATAATTGAAAATTGTACATATAAATACAAATTACAATTTTTAAGAGATAGAAGTTATAATTATTGTATGAAGATTTTTGTACACTGCACCTTTGTCTATTGAGAACTAGTTCAGGACATGAACACCTGCCCTAAGAAAAATTGGTAGGTAATTATGTTAATTAAAAAGAGTTCACTAACAGCCTGCTACCCCTACCCCTAGCCCTACCCCCTTGGCACACACACATTACTCGTAAATTTGCCCATAAGTTATTACCTTCGTTGCCATAATATCAAAACCGCTTTTCAGAACAAAATGCCAAAGCTTGGATTTTCACCGCAACCCAACTCCAACCTTCAGCTCATTTATCACGCTGCAATTTCGTTTTGCCAAACCGCGAACTTCCGTTGCGTGACCAGGATGTGTCCAACTGGTACCGTTTCCCCCCCCTGCATACCCCCCACCCACATATTTCGAGTGGAAGCTGAAGCCAAAGGCTGCTGCTGGCAGCTTAATTAAAACATGTTGCCAGCATCAAAAACAACACGAACAGAAATGCTTGTCTGATGGCCATTGTTAGCCATTTCACGTGCTGAAATGTTTCCCCCTAGATCCTTTTGCTGGCGCGTCTTTAGACTTTCCTTTGCTGTAATATTGGTACACGATAATGGCGCACAAATATGTGCAGAAATCTTCACATGAGCCGCGGAAAACTCTTCGCATATTTCAGCTACTTTCTACGCTCGACATGAAAAGGGTTTGACATGGGCGTGTCTCCAGTGTTTTTTATATATTGGCATTCCTTTGGCGCAGCCAAATCAAAGCCAAGAATATTTGCTATAATTTCGAGGGGCCCAACCCACACCGTCGCTGGGGAAAACTTAAAGGAAAATTGTGTTGGGTGGGGGAGAAAACACCGACTAATCCTGCTTCTGTCGACCGCCTGTCTCACAGAACTGTGCCAACTCACTCACCTGTCCCGGCACGGGCCAAAGTCATGATTCCACCTGCAGTTCTGTTTCGGGTCGTAGCTCCCTTTTTTGGGAGCTCCTGTCTGTCCCTGTCCCTGTCTCTGTCTGTCTGTCTGGGGGTTTGTCGGTCGGGACAACAGGGTTTACCTTTCATGTCGCGACTCTGATTGAATTGCTTTCGCTTTCGCGTTTCCTTCTTCAGCCTTTTGTGTCAGAATTTTTGGAATGGGGGCAAATTCTTTTCGGAGCACTTTTCAATTTGGCTTTTGGCTTCCTACCGAGCACGAATAAATAAATACACACAGCCTACATTTTTTATTATGTAAATATTTAATCATATCAAAGTTTTTCCAGGGGAGGGGGGGGCGAAGCGAACAGCCTGGCATATTAAAAGTCAGTCTCCGACTAATCCGGTAGTCCCCAGATATTTACGAATTTAACACACGCGCCTAAACATATGCTACGGGTTTTTTGAGTCCCTCCCCCTTCCCATTTCAACATTTATGTTCACCCATATTTTTACTCTTTTTTTTTGGGAGGAGGTTTCGTCTGTCCCTTGACAACCCTTGAGCTTCAACAAATTTGAATTGGGCGGCGTGTTTACTTTAGTCTGTTTTGGGGTTTTTTTTTTTTGGGGACTTGCTGTTTGATGTTGTCAATACGTTTACGCTTATCAAATACTTGTTATCACAAATCGATTACAACAACAACAAAAACAACATCAGCAGCAACAACAACAACAGCAGCAGCAGCTATGCTGTACCCGTAGAGATAATCGTTTATTACAAGTACGCAAATTTCCATATATGTATCTGTTTGAATATATAGCCTAATGTATTTGCACTGCCATTCAACCTTTACTATCGCTTTTATTATTATGTGGTTTTGGGGGCAGATCGCATAGGAAACATTATCTGCTTACTATCTGATGGGTAGGCACAAAATTCTAGTTGTACAACCAAACAAAAATGTTTTTTCGACTGCGGTTCAGATGCAAGAACAAACAGAAACTCTGCAGCAACACGCGACACACATATAGCGCCTCTTACGTCTGGCTTAAAATTGTCTGGATTTTCTGGGGATGTACCAAATAAACGCTTTGGTAAAGGGTATCAGAGATGTGGATATGCGCTGCGCCACGACATTGGGATGATCATAGTAATATGGAATAAGTCGCATCAAAACTTCGAGAGGCAGGCAGCAGCTGCAATATGAGTGACCGATGCCAGACTTCCAGCGCTTTCAACATGTTCATTAATTCTAAGGCATAGTGGAGAAAAAAAGGAATACATTCAAAAATAGAAGAGTAATCGCATGTCACTGATATTTCTGGGGTGGTTCGCACACAAATTAACGTGGACCAACAATGCACAGAAATTTCTTTGCTCTGGTTGTAAATTTTTGGCGCACATGGATTCCATGTGTTTGCAATTACATCCACACATAACAGAGTATGCGGCCTGGCCGTATTCTGAATCCTCTGGCTGCTGCTGACCATGGATGCACAATTATGAAAAAAACAAAAAAAATAATACTGATGCTAGCCTTTCGCATGCAAAAAGTTCTCAGTTTTCCAATACCTTTTGTACCTTTCTTGCTCGTTTGTCACCCTGTCGTTACTCTCCTTAAAACAATGCCCCGGCATAGACACTTTCATTAGTAAGATGACACCTCAGCTGTTTGACAAATTATGATAAAATCCCCAATTTTGGTTAATTCTCTGTGACTGCTGTCTGCTGTCTGGTGCTCTCTCTGCTGCCAGATAAGGCCCCATCCCCCCGATTTATTGTCATGATTCAACCCGTTTTTTGGCATTATCTTTTTAATAACATTCCGGCTAGCCAAATTCCGTGCAGCTGACAGCAGCTTCCCGTCATAAAGCAAACGGTAGCTTGCCTCATAAAGTTACCCTGTTATTATGTTTATTAGATTCGTTGTGGGTCTTGTTATTGTTCTTGTTTGTGGTTTGTGGCTTCCGTGTGGTTGGGTTGCAGGCGGCATTGTTTGCACCCGATTTTGGATGTTTGTGTGTGTTGGGGCACGTATTGAAATTCAATTAGTCAAGCCCCTCCGCACCACTGAGTTAATAAATCACATCACAGGCAATCAGAAAATCAGAGGCAAATGGCTGCTGGCAAACGATTAATTATGCATAAATTTGATTGATGTGCGTGCGTCGAATGCCTAAACGACAGAGCTTCAGTCAGAGAGAAGCAGTAGAGAGAGAGTCAGAGCGTTCCTGTTAGACTCTTCCTCTCGGAGTCTCAGTCAGCGAGTGTCAATGAAAACGAACTGAGGCCAGATCCGATTGATTGACTGACTGTGAGGTGATGACGCACACGTCAGAGTGGCATTTAATTAGCATTGAATGGCGTTATTTGCATATGTACTTATGTAATACATTTCAGTCGGATGTGAACCGATGATGAGAAAATCAACAAACAGAAATGAGAGCTTCAATGTGCTACGACTATGCGGGTATATGCGCTGTTAGAAATATCCGAGGCAAACAGAATCATTTTTGTTGCGATTATCATTTAATCTTGACTTAAAAAAGCTATTAAAAGTTATGGATAGATGCAGCCATAGAGTTTTAAAGGAAAGAATATTGTACAGTTGCCAAACACATTTTATTTTTTTTTTTTTTTTATTTTATATAAAAAACAGTGACTTTATTGCAAACATCAACAAAACCAAAATACATTTACTCAAGACATATTTGTCTTAATTTAGCAATAACAATAATATACATATATGTATATATATTATTTCAAGGTTCCATTATCTCACAGCACTTATTTAAATTGGGAGCTTATCTCCCTTTACATTTGAGTAAATCTCTTTTTGGATTCTCCTTTAACAAGGCCCCGAATTTCTGATATTCAAAACGCGGCCCAGCTTCTTGTAGTCGCGTTGTGTGCACTCGAATTCGCAGCGATTCTTGTAGGTGACCCCATTGGAGCCGCACACCTCCGTCTTCTCCGTCTTGAGATTGCACGGACAAAAGCTGGCCTCCGCCGGAGCCAGACACATGGAAGCCAGCACCAGTGCCAGGATTGATATCAAAGCAAAGCACTTCATCGTGTAGGTTGTCGCCTTCGTGGTTAAATGGTACAGAATTTCTGAGAAGCAGCCTGCCGTATAGCCGTGTCGAGCGTTCAACTGAGACTGACTCTCCTTGGTTTTGGGTTTTGAGTAATGCAGCAATGTTGTTGGTTTGCTTTTGTCTATCTGTACGCCCGAGTGTATGCGTAAGTTTTTGCTAATTAGTCAAACAAGCTGCTGATTATTTTGCTCACACACACAGAACCTCTTATCGTTCTGCTGCTCACACCTTGGGGTTGAGAGCAAACAGCAGTTTCTCATAGTAGGTACATCCACTGTAGCGTTGTGTCAAAGAAGAGCGATTTATGTGCGGGTTGGGTTGAGAGGTTAAACCCTTAAACTTTAGCCACTGCACACTGAGACTACAAGTGTATAAATGTAGCATATCTTAACAAATAGAATATAGCTTAAGCGGAAGTTCTAATTAGAGGAAAACACCTCATTTCACATGGTTTCGGTGCTTGTTTATGCCACCAACCATATGCACATGTGTATGTACATTTGTATGTAATTCTAAGGAAAACATTTCAAAGGAAATGGAATACAAAATGTGTTTATTCGAATGAAATCAAGCATTCGATTACACCGTATGCACACTGGGCAAAAATTGCAATATAGCGGCAGCGAAAAGGAACAAATTTAATTTTGAACTTGTTTATTTAAATTAAGTATTTTAAATTTTAATTTCTTTATTTTATTTTTAATTTTAAAGTTTATTAAAAGTTTATTAAATTATGAAAAAATAAAAAAACAATATTATTTTTTTTGTTATGACTTTTGTTACTCTATGTTTTGCCCACTGTATTTGTTGTATTATTTGCTAAATATATATATTTAGATATATGAATGTACATATGTATGTTTACAGCATTCCTATTCATTTTCAGTGTACATTTCAATTGTTTAATTAATTTTTCAGTTCAGCGATCAATCGTTGAAAAAATTTCCAAATGCATTACTTTCTTTTCTGTTTGTATTTGGGATGCTTTTCACTAGAATTTGGTCAGAAATCGATTGGTGTTTTCCTGTAGCAAGGTCCCATATGAAAGCAATAACAAGGGTTATTAGAGACAAGCAATTATTTTTTAAGTTGTGTTAATTGCGTAGTCTATGCCAATTATTTTGCACACACACATAAAAGTTCCTTTAATTTCTTATCCCCTGGGCTGAGTTTGTGTTTCATTTGCATGGGTCCTACGCGCCTCTAGCAATTTACAGGGTTGACAATTCAGGGCGCAAGCCGCCAGGACTTGCAGCAGTAACAGACCCAGAATTATACCTCTCATCGTGGCACCAAATCGACAACTATATAAGCCACCAGAGCAGCTCTTTGGGGAATTTCCCCAGGGGCGTACATTTATCGTCTCTTGGTCTCTGACTTGCAGCTACTCGTAAATTAATTGAAATTGAAATTAAATGGAAATTGAAATTCCAATTCAAAAGGCAGACGGCAGACATAAGCTTGACAATACGAGTCGAGTGTGCGTAGGAGCGTGTAAATTGCCTGACAAAAAATGTGTGGTTGTCCATTAATTAAATTAGGGGCTCCATAAAAAACGTGGAAAAATGTAGTACGACAAATATTACGAAAGGGGAATTGGGATTCCTTTAATTGCATTTTTCCACCATTCAAGGGTTAAGCTTTGATCGTTGATAAAATAGAGAGAGAGAGAAAGAAAGCTATAGAGACCAAGAGAGAAAGCTATGGAAAGAGATGTAGAGAGAGCAATAGGAAAATAGAGAGTCACAGCAAAGATAGTGGGAGGCAGAAAAAGAGAGCCACAAAGAAAGAGAGAGACCCAAAGCTATCAGAGAGCGTAAGTAAAATGCTTTTAGTGTGGTGAACAAAAGCTCCCGGCAAGCTCTTTTCGACTTACACGAAATGCGCCTTTTAGTTCTCTGATAAAACAAATAATTATATACAAAATATAAACAAACAAGAGCGCCCATAAATTATTCAACTCAATCGAAATGAATACATTAAGGCACCAAAGTACTCAGTGCTCAGTACTCAGTCTTATTTGCTCCGAGATATTCCAGAAAAAAAATGAGTTTTTCTGGCACACACCACACCACACCAATTCCAAACAAACCCAACAGAACAGAGCCGATAAGATAAGCAACAAATGGAAATCGAACCAAAGCAGAACCAGAATCAAAACGAAAACCCAAAGCTCTCGTATGAACGCATTTCCAGCAGGCAGTATCGAACGAGTGAAGCAAGTGGATTAACCTCAACGAAAGGCAACACAAATACTTACTATAATGAAATTCCTGAGCATTCTGGTGGCCCTGTGCCTCTTGCTGGCCCTGGCCATAGCACCAACTCGGGCCAACGATGACATATCCGCCGAAAAGGATGCCAAAACACTGACCAAGTTCTGTCCGTGTCCCCGGAACTATGATCCGGTGTGTGCCTCCAATATGGTCACATATGCCAATCGTTGCGAATACGATTGTGTGCGTCGTGAGGCAGAGCGTCGTGGACGCAATCTGGGATTCCTACGCACTGGCACATGCTAAGCCATGCTAAGGGGAGACCTTGTAAAATATAAAACAAAAGAAAAATAAAGGATGTTCTTACGTGTACCAAGTACCAAGTGTTTTGTGTATTAATCATCAATGTGAAATATATTACATATATAGAAATATAGAAATCAGCTTATCAGCTAGAGCATTTGGCATTGCAATTGATAAGCAGTCGTCTGGCTTTATCGCACAAATGAATCGTAAATAACAGCACACAAAAATCAGGCGGAGGGGGTGCAACCCAAACTGCGGTTCGCTTCAGAGATATTTGCGAATCATTAGTTCCGAGGATCAAGTGGATCAACGCTATAGTTAGCTATGTACTATATAGTAGATACTCGTGGCTGTTTCCTCTTCAAAACTAATCTATGGCTATGATGATTCACACAAAATATTTGATTAAATTAGATTGGTCTGGAATAAAATTGGCACTATCAACTCGTAAGATAGCGTTTGTTTTGGGTGACATTTGAAAGCGCAAAAAAGATTTGCAAAGCTTGCAAAATAAATTTAAAAAAAAAAAAGAATATTTATTTATTATGAAATGTTATATTATTTTGCTAAAATTTAAGGAAACCTGGGCAGGAAATCTTTCCAGCACAATCTCGATGAACTGCTGGATTTGTAGTCTATATTGATGGACGTAAATTACGTATGTACGTCAATTCCCCTAAGGCAGGCAGATCCAATGATTGTCGTCATTCTAGAGGTGCCTCCAAAGAGAGCTTAAACCACAACAAAATAATAGCTCAACTATTCTATTTTTATAATACAAAAAAAATATCCCTACTCCATTCTCTCTCATTATTTTCTTGCAATATACATCCCGCCATTTCAGCTGAAACAACTGTGACCCATTTTCGTCCACTTTCCTTTTCCGTTCATCAGTTTGTTTGTAGTCTGCCAACCCTGGTCTAACTTTTTAGTTACTGTTGAGACTTAGTTGTGCCAACATTTGTCCAAATAGAGGTGGAATCCAAATCCAAACACAGCAACGGTGCTAACCAATTGGGTCAACAACAGAAGTCACAAGGAAAACAGCTCTCAAACTAATACACATACGAGAGTACTCCATAGAAAGGTCACATTGGACACGTATTTATTTTCAGCATAAATCGGCTTTAGTTATTTATATTATGCTCAGCAGCGGCCCTCTTTGATGAATGTAAGGCTGCGGCCCTCTCGGGAGGCCTTTGTGGCCTGGCAGTCCAGGTCGCACTTGTTGCTGTAGGTCTTGGAGTCCGAGCCGCAGACGGGCGCCAAGTTGCGCGGACACGGGCAGAATTCCTCCTGGGCCACGGTGAGCGACAGCAGGGCGAACAGGCAGAGGGCGATCAAGGCAAAGAAACGCATGGCTGATTGAGTGATTTGTTTTGTGTTTTGTGTTTGGAACGCTTCGACTGGTTAGACAAGACTGGGGCTTTGCCCACCGATTGGCATACATTTATAGATAACCCGAAACCGAACCCCACAGAACTTCACAATATTGTATTTTCCCTTCCCTCTCTCATAGAGAGAGAGAGAGACAAAGAGAGAGATAGAGAAACCTCGTCGCTGTGCTAGTGTCAATAATTTATTCTAGGCATTCGAACCTCAGCCAAAGTCGTGAGAATTTACTCTTTGCGCATGTACTTGTTAAAGTTGTGGAGAAAAGCATCTAGTTAAATATTTTCCATGGAAAACTGATTGAACAAGCTCTGCTTTTGTTTATAAGCGGGGATTTTGTTCTGTAACACGTGGCATTTGCGTATTATGATAAATAAATATGAAAATGTATTTGTTTTTCCTCCGATTTAATTGTAGCTTGGCAGCTGTTGGCCTTGGAAAATGGCAGAAAGACAGAACAAAAAAAAAATATTCCTAGCTTGTCCTCATAAAAGCCTTTCAACGCACAAAATAGGCACCAGGAAAACAGCTCTCAAACTTTTATATATAATTACGAGCACTCCATAAAAAGGTCACATTGAACACGTATTTATTTTCAGCATAATTCGGTTTTTTTGGTTTTAGTTATTGTATTATCAGCATTTGCCTTCTTTGATGAGTATAAGGCTGCGGCACTCCAGACTGCACTTGTTGCTGTAGGTCCTGCCGTCTGAGCCGCAGACGGGTTCCCAGTTGGCCGGACAAAAGCAGCCTTTTTTCTGGGCCACGGTGAGCGACAGCACGGCGAACAGGCAGAGGGCGATCCAGGCAAAGAAACGCATGGCTGATCGGTTGGACAGAACTGGGGCTTTGCCCAACCCATTGGCAGGCATTTATAGATAACCCCTTTTCCAATCTTTCTCACAGAGAGGGAGAGAGACTTCGTCGCTGTTTTACTGTCAATAATTTATTATATGCATTAAAACCTCAATCAAAGTATATTTAATTGTTAAAGTTGTTGAGAAAAGCATCTAGTTAATTAAATGTACAGTAAATTTTCCATGGAAAACTGATTGAGCAACCTCTACTTTTCTTTATAAGCGGGGATTTTGTTCTGTAACACGTGGCGTTTGCGTATTATGATAAATAAATAAAATAAATATGAAAATGTATTTGATTTTCCGCCGATGCTATTTCAGCTTGGCAGCTGTTGGCCTTGGCAGAGGGATCCCTGAAGGAGGGATAGAAAAAAAAAGAACCCCAGCCTCAGCTTGTCCTAATAAAAACCTTTCAACGCATAAAAAGCAAAATTTAATCTAATCTTCTAGTGCGCGCACAGGCTCCATCAAAGTAGAGGATAAAACGCGTACAAGTTAAGGCATTCAAAGAGCTTTAAGGAAAAAGGAAATATATTTTGTGTTTCTTAGTTTAATTTGGGATTCTGGATGCTGTTTGCTTTGGAAGATTTTTTTTCAGAATTCAAAATAAATTATTTCCTATATTTTTATCCCCAAAAGTTTCCTTTAAAAAAGTTCCTTTCTCTCATTAATGCAAATGAAACACATAAATATCTGTATTTGTATGCGTTCTTAAATACTTTAAGGCATAAAAATTTAAATATAATTTGACTGTAATATCAACTGAATTTTATCCCTATTTTGAATGTGAATCAAGCTCAGGTTAAACCTATAATTCGGGCACTATTTATATCCAAAGAGTGTATAAAGCTACTTAGCAAAATGAATTTTTTTTTTGTTGAAGAAATTACATTATCCCAAGCGCTCGTTTTGATTCATGTACGGAAAAGGTTGTAGTTAAAGCTATTAAATATTCAATACACTTCTCTCCAAAGCCACACACGAAAATTCGCTCACCCTTTCGGCCTGCAACAACAAAACACACACAAAAATACACTTTGGCTAAGCCGAACAGCAGCAGAAAAGAAGGGATTGCCACAGCAAGTGAAACACACAACAAAGGGATTTGGTCTGGGGCTCACATGGATACATATGTATATATTTGTGATTGCTGTTCAGAGACCAGACCTGTTGTTGTTAGAGCAGACAACACATCAACAAAATCCCTCGTACTAAAGTCGTCTTTTTTTTTGCATATAATTTTACAGTTGCCAGCACGCCGGAGAGTTTGCCCAGCAAGCGAGACGAGGCCAGTAGTGCCACCGGCAGCAGCAGCAACAGCAGCGTTGGTGGTGCGGCGTCAGGTGGTGCCGTTAGTGGAGCAGCGAGCGGTGCAGCCAGTGGTGGAGCTGGAGCTGGTGCAGGTGCAGGTGCAGGAACATCAACGCCGGGCCACGAAGCTGCCGGCAGTCCCACAGTCTCCGAGCTCGTTGGAATTGGCCCAAATGCGACAATAAATGGTCAAGTGGCAAGTAAGTAGAGCTACTGGAATTTTCTATTTTTCTGTTTTGGTTGCATATTTCAGCAGGTCCGAGACTCCGGGAGGATGGTTGATCCGCTTGGTCGCATCATAATTTCTATTTCATGCAACTGGCAGGCGACCGCAGTGCTTGCATAATCCATCTTGCACCAGCTGTCGAGCTGTAGTTTGGGGCTTAGACTATGAAAATCTCAGGATTATAAATGGAATTCTTTTGGCCACAAGAGTGGCTTAGATTTTGATTATAGAATTTTGCAGAGAAACTAGAAAACTTTATAATTAAATACGGAGTCGGCAATTATTGATAAAGTGCTTGGGGCAGGGACGTTTAGGCAGCAGGAACTAAATTTCTTAGGAATAAATTTCATTAGCTACAAAATTAAATATTGAATAAAATAAAAATAAAAATTAAAATTAAAACCAATGACGCTAACACTAATTAACACTAAACTATTGGCCGATGAAGCTCGATAATCATAGCATAAATAGCTCTATGACTTATCGATGGATACCTGTTAAAATATGTTCACTGATAACTGAAGTAGCGATAGCGAAATAATATTACAATTACAACTCCGTAATTACGTTGATAAAAAGCTGAGAAATTCATGCAGCTTGTGTAGACTGATAAGTAGATAAATGATGTTGAGTCGATGACGCATAAATAGACAGCAGATCAACTGACAATAGACATAATCGTTTTGTTTGATAGCTCAATTCAGATACGGAAACATATCTATCATATCTAAACTATGACTTGATAAATTACTAAACTTTGAGATAATACTTAAGCCTCAATTGATAGTTGACGTAATGCAATAAATGATTTGATTCTCCAATTGAGATCAATCGATATTCGAATGCCAAACGTACAAGAGTGTACCCCGACAGTCGACTAAAGTGAACGAACAATTTCCAAAAGATAAGCAAACATAGAGCATCTAAATTCGCAGCACTTTAACTTAAAGATAAAAACAAAGAGCACTCTTTAAATGAAAACAAAACCACATTTTAATGGCCGACAGTTTCCATTACGCCGTTCACATGGATTAAACTTAAGCCACCTGGCGTGTGTCTGGTGTGTGTTTTCCTTTGGCCTGCGTGTAAGGTGCAGCCGCCCCAGTTATTTTGCCTCAACATTGTGCGGTAAAGTGGAGCGTTGAAACGCCATTAAAGCCGCGAAGAGTAGCCAGTAAAAGCAGCACATAAAACATTTCATCCCAAAACTTGAGTCGATAAAGAGCCAGCGGTATCTAGCAGTTAAGGAAAAGGAATCTCGGGTGTAACATAAATTTAAGTGCAGCATAAAGCGAATTTTATGGCCGTGCCCCTTCAACTCGAGGAGTCGAGCAAGCGACCTGCACTGTCAAAATAAATGGAATGCAGTTAACGTACCCCCAAAGCCAAGACACTCGCTGCCGTCTCTCGTGTAGGGTAAAGAATTGCTGGATTGCAGGAGACTAGGGACCGCCACACACAGATAGATTGCCAGAGAAGCTGGCGAATCACTCGAGCTTTGTGTGTGCTCCTCAACACTTGACAAACACACACACACAAAGAGAGAGACAGAGAGAAAGGGAGGGAGACACACATCCAGCGATAAATCCTTTGCAATTTTTCGACACACTCCTGGGTGCAGGCCCCTAAAGTTAAGGGAAAAGTAGAAGATGATGCCACTCTGAAGGCACATAGGGAAGTAGAGGAATGGGCAGAAGAAACTTCTGTTAGGGGTTTTTGTTCGCTGCTCGTTAAGCATTTTTCCTCTCACTTGGGACTTCCAAATAAATAAGCAACTGAATGCTACAATGCCCCTTAAATGATGGAAATAAATTATTGATTTCTTGTCGATTGCATGCCAATGATTTTCCGAGCCCAAAAGCAAAAAGGATTGAGGTCTGTGCATGGGCACAGTGGGAAATCAGAACCAACCCTAGTATATTTCCACTATAAAATATTCTTTTAACCACTGTGCCTATGCCTCCTGTGCCTTTCTTTGCTTGAGTCTGCTGTATGCTTCGTTAGATCAACGTAGCAGCCTGTGCCTTAATCAATGTGTCTATAGGGAGAACAAAAAAATATATAACTAAAGTAAACGGCAGGCAACTAACGTCAGTAACAACTTTTTCTTTCGTTTTTTTTGCAGGACACGGCTCATTGACCATTATTCGACGCACGAATAGCCGAAATTTCACACAGATTGACGCTGCACAGCTCACCTCGCCCTCGACAACAGCCTCCGGCAGCGTCAGCTTCGCCCAGGCACCGCTCAGTGAACCACTTGCCGAGCGTCTGAGCACCTCCAGGCACCTGTCCGGTGCCAACGGATCAGCCCGCACCGCCATTGAGCAGCAGGGCAGCAGCAGCAGCAACAGCAACAGCAACAGCAGCAGCAGTCAATTGCATTCAGTCGCCGCAGCCCACAGCAAAATGCAGCCCTCGTCGCCGAACGCGTCAAACTATTTGCCCGAGAATACGCAGATCTCGTCGGCTAATCCGTCAACAACCGATATAAATGTGGGTCGCGATTCCTTGGAATATTTCACTAATCAATCGCTTAATCCCACCGCCCATCCCTCGATGTCACGGGAAAATGACAATCCGCAGTCGCATCATTCGTTCGAGACCACTTCGAATTTATCGTTCGGTGCGATACAATGGGAAACCGAAAGCCTTCCGCCAGTCGATACGCCAGATGCCCTTAACAAAGCGGCTGGGAGGTAAGTTTAAGACGATATTTAAAGTTTATTTTTATCAATTCTAATTCGTTGTGTTCTCGTTCCCCGAAAACAGAATACGTAGTCTTCTCCGCCGCATGGATCACGAGACCGTCGCCTATGAGGACATGCAGCGCAATCTGCATTATGCGGCTCGTGTACTCGAAGCTGTCTTCATAGACGAATCAAGGTAGGTAAAATCCACCCATGCACCCACACCATGCACATCCCATAAATACCCTAAACAAATTTCTTGGCGGGCATTTTGTCATCAGGATAATTGATTCACTGAACAACCGGAACTTTTTGCTTCAGCTTCCAACAACGGCTTCCTACGGGGCTCAACAAATTGGTTTAGGCTTTGTACTGTACTTTGATTAGGTTCTAGTTTCAAAATTAACGGAATTGCACTCAAGGCAAGCTTACCTCTAGCCCTCCCCTCCCCTCCCCTCCATCCACCTGCCAAATAAGCATCCCATCCATCTATCATATATTCATTTCTAACTCAAATAAAGTTTCCCAAATTATGATTAATTTAAATTTAAATTTAAATACTAAGAGTTAATTTGTTTCTATATGCATACATATATCTGAATACTTTTTCTTTTTATATCCGTTTCCGTTTCGATAACTGTTCGATCTATATACATATGTGTGTGTGTATGTCATATACTTTATTGAGCAGAAGCCCCACAACAGGTAAAACAAAATTGGGGCAGATTGCGTCTTCATCCGTTGAGAGCGAAGAGTAAGTTTCCCCACACAAGACACAATCTTGTCGCTTTGGTTTTTTTTTTGTCGTTAACTTTGTTGATTTTTAACTCTAACATCTCTCTTCTACAAACTCGTAATAAATAATAAAAAAAAAAAGAAAAATACCCAAATCGCGTGCCACACATTAAACATCAACCAACGAGAATCAACCAGAATTCACAATATCTCTACTACTACTACTACTACTACTACTACTACTACTCACATAACTTTCTTCATTACTTTTTCCAAACTCTATTAACTCTATTTCTATGCTCATACTTTGTAGTGCTCTCTTCTGTTCATGTGTCTCGAGATGCCTTGCCTCTGCCAGTAATCAAAAACAAAAGTCTAGCCCCATTATCATCCATCATTCTTTATTCTATATCGATATTCTGTCTAATTGTCATTCCACTCTCATTCACATACGTTTTACGGAGAGAATCCTTAGCCTAGCCTTCTAGCCTTACGTAACGTTAAAACTCTGTCTGTATTTATCTGGTATGAGGATATTCCCGATCACACATATCCCCTAATGAAACGCAGCACCGTATTATTGAAGAACTACTGTCTATAGCCTCACATCCTACTGTCTGCTCTCTGAATATTCTCTCTCTCTCTCTCTCGATGTCCTTTTTATTGTGCTCGCCTTTTCAGTGTCGGTGTATCTTACATTTATTTACTCGGTTCGTTCGTTCGTTCGTTGGTTCGTTCACCAGATGGAACTCTGTGTGTGTGTTTTTTGGATCGTCTTCTTCTATTTCTGCTCTAACTTCGCCTCTCAAAAGCTTCATCTGCTGGGTGTTGTTGGATATTTTTGAAGGATGTTTTTTGATTTTTGAAGGAAGGGATTTGGCAAAGTTTCCCAATAGCTTTACCCATTCCAAAGTCTAGCCCAAAACCGCAACACATTCCCTGTACCAAGCATATACAATAAGTGCATTTTTATTATTTACCACACATTCAATTAAATCCCCCGAACCTCTACAGACCCCAAAATGTCATCTGCATATGTATGGAATACGCGAGGGTATCCATTGTATCCGGTTGATGTTCTACATGAATTATTTACATTTTTTTCACCCCGAACTCCCTACCCCTGCCACATTACACGATTCTTTGATTTACATAGCCAAGTGAGCTATGTGTGTGTTCGCCTGGGAGGAAAGTTGTGCTCCGCCCTTCAACCTCCCTTCAATTGTTGCCCCCTTTTTAAGTTTTTTTTATATTGTTTTTCGGCAACTACTAGAGATGGACATGGGCCCAGGGCATGCATACCGAAAAACACTGCTAGAGAATGAACAAACAAATTTAGTCTGTATAAATTCTTTAACTTTGAATATGTAAAACATTCGAAACTTTTCAAAATTCACGCTACTTGACGGGATTCTTCTGCTGCCCAGCACACCCGCCCCACGCACATCTCTAGTAGGAGTAACGAGAGACAAAGTTTCGACGAGTTGAAAAGTCTGATTAGCTTTATATTTTGTTATATAGTTATATAGTTCGACCTGTGGCTTCTTCTACAGCTTCTGTTTTTGGGGGAATGGGCATTAATCCAAATAATCCAAAAAAGAAAAACAAAACAAAACAAAACTAAAATCTTTACCAAAAACTCTCAACTGATGTACTATTTATATTTTTTCTTTCTATTGCCAAACATATAAAAAAAAATATATATGATCATGAAAACTAAACACATACCCACACATATCTGAAAACAAAACAAAACAAAACAAAAATTTCTATGCCAATGCAACAACAACGACAACGTGTCTCTCGTTTCTAACATTATTGTCGCCTGTACCAATTCGCTATTTACTCACTGCCAACTGCTGTGCGAAAAACACTCGACCGCCCCGCACTTGACTCGCTGTCACCCACTCGCTGAACCAGCAGCGAGTCGGCCGCCCGGCAGCGTTGCAACGGTAACTGCAAGAATCTCAACTGCAGCCAACACAGCCACAGCCACAGCCGCGACCAGACGCACACGACAGTAACCGGCGGCGGAGAGCTGCAGCAGCAGCAGCAGCAGCAGGATAACAACAATTCCAACAGCAGCTGCTGCCTGCAGAAGAGGTCAGTGGAGGAGGAGCAAGAGCAGGAGGCACAGCCGGCTGGAACAACAACTGACAATCAGGCGAGCATAGAGAGTCGCACCAAAGGCGTCTCTATGGCACCACAAACGCACAGCGGGCCAACGGGTCCGCCACCGACAGCGCCTGGCAGCGGCGCCGAAGAGGTGACAAAAACAGTGCCAGCACTCGAAACCGTGACAGAATCAGCTCTGGAAGAGCACCACTCCATGGAAACGATGACAAAGCCTGCAGCGACAGATACAAGTGCTGCTATACCTGCTCCTCCGGCTGTACCCACCAGCAGCGCGACGGCGACGGCAACGACAACCAGTGGCAGCAGCTCCACTGGAGAGGCGGTTGCGGCTGAAAGTGTTTCCAGCAGTAGCAGTTGCAGTAATAAAGCGACCGTGCACCGACAAAGACGCCTGCGTACACCGGTCTGGGCGAGATCTATGTCGACGAATAAAACGTACTTGAACAATGGTTTCTTTCTACCTAATCTAACAACAAAAATTAGCCTCTTACCGTTACAATTTTTTATGCTTTTTCCGTTTAACCGTTATGCGTTTCGTTGTCAATTTTGTTATATGATTTGACTTGCGTTAACCAACACTGCTCCAAAATGAACTTATCCTCTCTCTCTCTCTCTCTATCTCTCTCTCTACTCTGTCTCTATCTCTTTTTCTGTCTACTGACCTTTGTCGCGTCTTTCTACTATAAAACAAAAACTATAAATAAATGCTGTAATCTTCTGTCTAGCCTCTGTCCAGCCTCTGTCCCCTCCCCAAAATCTTTTGCTCGCTTCTACTCTGTAAATATGTTTATATTTTTAAACCCCAAAATCCAAAAACCCTGAACTCTCTACGTAATTGTATATGTATTCCCCATTCCCGCCGTGACTTTTCTACAAAAGTAAAAGGCTATAGATAAATTATTCTATGTACATAAATGTAAATGTTTTTTTATTCCACACATGAATTCATGGCATGTTATTGTCCGTCATGTTTGTTTACTTCTTACAATTGCTTGCGCATGTGTTATGTCATGTAAGCGTTTAAATTTTCAAATCTGCCCGCCAGTCGCGCCTATCGATTAAGGCATGGTCTATCGATACCTCGTATTATTCGTAGTTATTTTCGCGATCACCAGCTGCGGTCACATTGTTGCCGCCAAAAGTGCCCGTGCAGATCTTTTTTTGCATTTGTTTAAAAAAAAACAACATTTAAACTAAAATCAATTGTTAAGCTGAATTTGCCGGCTTGCCCGCACAACCGACAACTGTGCGTACGTGTCGTGTATACGAAAATGAGCAGTGATAAAGTGAAAAACGGCAACGAGCATGACTCCGAAGACTCGTGTGGCGTAAGTACGAAAAAAAACACACATAAAAGATTAATGGATCTTGCAAAAGTGAAAATGAGAATTAATAGTTTGTGGCTGGCAGGATGAGTCGGCCAGTTTTACCACAAATAGCACCACATCGCACAGCAAATCGCCAACGTCGAGCACGAGGAGCAAACGCCGGGGGCGACGCTCCACCAAATCAAAGCCAAAAACCGTAGCCGCCTACAAATACGAGTAAGTTAAGTGGGGGGGAGCACACGCCAAAGCAGGAATCGTTTCAAAACCATTCCAGTCTACTTGTCTACTTCAAGCACACACGCAAAGGAGAACCATGGAGCCAGCATTTTCGGCGTGGCATTCAACACGCTGCTGGGCAAAGACGAGCCCCAGGTGTTTGCCACAGCGGGCAGCAATCGGTGCACAGTGTACGAGTGCCCCAGAAAGGGCGGACTGCAGCTGCTGCACTGCTATGCGGATCCAGATGTGAGTTTTGGGCAGACAGCAGATGGATGCATTTGTATACCACTTACTGATTATTGATTCTGCAGCCCGATGAAGTATTCTACACATGCGCCTGGTCCTACGATCTAAAGAGCTCCGCTCCACTGCTGGCTGCTGCCGGCTATCGGGGCGTCGTACGCGTCATAGACATTGAGCAGAACGAGGCTGTGGGCAACTACGTTGGCCACGGCCAGGCCATCAATGAGCTGAAGTTCCATCCGCATAAGCTGCAACTGTTGCTCTCGGGCAGCAAGGATCATGCCATACGGCTGTGGAACATACAAACGCACGTCTGCATTGCCATCTTCGGTGGCGTCGAGGCGCATCGCGATGAAGTGCTCTCCATAGACTTCAATATGAAAGGCGATCGCATCGTTTCCAGTGGCATGGATCACTCCCTGAAGCTGTGGTGCCTCGACAGCAAGGACTTTCAGCACAAAGTCGAACTATCGAACACATTCAGCCAGGAGAAGTCAACGGTGCCGTTTCCGACAGTGACCAGGCATTTCCCCGACTTTTCCACGCGCGACATCCATCGAAACTACGTGGACTGTGTCCAGTGGTTCGGCAACTTTGTGCTGTCCAAGTCCTGCGAGAATGCCATCATCTGCTGGAAGCCAGGACAGCTGCATCAATCGTTTGAGCAGGTCAAGCCCAACGATTCATCGTGCACCCTCATCGCCACGTTCAGCTATGACGAGTGTGAGATTTGGTTTGTGCGCTTCGGCTTCAATCCCTGGCACAAAGTCATCGCCCTGGGCAATCAGCATGGAAAGGTTTATGTCTGGGAACTGGATCCCAGCGATCCGGAAGGCGCACACATGACGACGCTGCACAATCAGCGAAGCGTGTCCACGGTGCGGCAGATAGCCTTCTCCAGAGACGCCAGCATCCTGGTCTATGTGTGCGATGATGCCACTGTGTGGCGCTGGAATCGACCTCAGGCTGCTGCCATTTGATTAAAATTAAACCAACAACCAACAAAAAAAAAAAAAAACAACAACCACAACAACCAAATCTCACGTGGCCAAAACTCACTTACAACATTTCCTCTTGTCTAGTTCCTAGATTGTTACAATTAAATCAAATCGTATGTAAAGGCCGCCTCTCTTGCATTTTCCCTGAATATTCAAGCATCTTTAAGTACAACCCGCCGTTCAAGTGATGAGTCCCCAGTTGGCCATTTCTAATTGTGGCTGCAAAGCAAAGCAAAGCAAAGCTCCTCCGCAAAACAAATCGCTTTCAATTTCTACGTCATTTATATGCATTGCTGCAGCAGGAGGAGCGCCTGGCCATGCCTTGCCATGCCATGCCATGGTTGAAATAAATGCGACGAAATTGAAACTGCCAACGGGAGTGAGTGTGCAGGGCAACGTATCCCAGCATCCCAACATGAGCCAGCAATCCCAGCAGCCATAACAGCTCCCAGCAGACTGATTAAGCGAACAAAGTCCCCCCACGATTTTGTATACACTTGCAAAAAGGATACTTTGACTTTGGATTGGAGTGTAGTACGAAGCAGATGGATAATAATACTTGTATAAGAGCTCTGGTAGCTCCAACTTAATATAAATGTTTATATATATAGTGCCCAAGAGAAAAGTGAGAAAATTCTCGCCTAAATATCAGTTTTCTCTTCTCCTGCAGAGCTGCCTGCTGTAATAATTTCTAATAATACCAAAATCTCACACAAATATCCATTCCAAATGAGGGGCATTTTTTTGCAAGGGTATACGACGCTTCGTTTAGTGAAATATTTTCCACTATTCGTAACCAATGTGCCTGGCTGATTGGGTTGTGCATCTTCTTTGTTCGACGTTCGTTGACCGCACCGCACCGCACCGCCGCGCTCTCTTGCTGACAACTCCGTTCTGTTCCACTCCATTTGCCTGTGCTATGAGTAATTAGCTAAAGTTGGCTTGGGGCTTGCCAGGGGCATTAAGTTGTCAATAGAAGATTCCGAGAACTGCAGGCAACAGCCGTCTTGGATGGATGGCTGTGTGGGGGTTGACACGCAAAGTCGAACGACTGTCACCGAGCACCGGGCTCCAGGCCAATCCGAAAGCCGTTCTTACTACTTGGACGAATGTTTTCCTTTTAAGTTTTTCGGTTGCCATGTCTCAATGCTTGTCCTTGGCCATAAATTGCTGGCTTGAAATTGAAGCTGTCTGAAGAAGTACATGCCCATCCCGTATAAGTATTGTCTGCTGCTGCAACTTGTTTGTCAATTTGTTTGTTTTGCTTGCATGTACGCGTATAACAGATGCAACTCCGCCAGTACCAACAATACCAACAACACCACCAATACCACCGCATCGTCCTCCTCCACGGTCTGTCCCAGCTCCACGCATGTCCTCAGCTATGCTCGTCGCCACAGTCACATCCATGAGAATGACTACAGCGACTGCAATAAACGACGAATCATTCGCTTGCGGTTTGTCCCTTCCTTACCAAACTACCACCTAAGCATCCTAGCATCCTAGTTGTCATGTTTCACGTTTCATGTTTGTCTCGCACGGTGTCGTCTGTGGGATTGTGATTGCTTGTGTTGCTGCTCTATTATACCTGGTACTTCTGGGAGAGATATGTATCAAGGGGTATATTATTTCTGTGTAGATGTGCCGTGAGTCTATTTATTGGCTATAATGGCTATGGTGGCTATAACTACTAAAATTAACTATGCTTTAAATGCCAAAATTTTCCAATATTTTTCATAGGATACTTTCGATAATTTACTCAATTATTCAGATAAAATTCCCAGTACCGGGTAGTCCTCTAGTGGGAATATCGTCTATGCCATTTTGCACTGGTTTTGTGTTTTGTGTAGCTTTAAGCATTGTTGTAGCTGGTTCATGCTCTTGATGTTTCACTGTCAAAATACGCAATTACCCGCACCGCACCCAGGCACCACACAAAAACCTCACCACCCCACACACGGTGGGGTAGCTGATGATGATTTGCGTCTTCCACTTGTCGGTTCTGTTCTAAAAATTAATCAAACCAAAATGCTGCGGGCAAAACGGGAAAGTCTCCTCCTTCTGGATGTCACTGTAATTCGGTTTTACATGTGCCGCTGACACCGAAATTAGTTTGGCTTGTCATTTGTTGGCAAAGGCAGCTCACAAGTCAAGTTAGAGTCAGTCGAATGGGTCGCGTGGCGCTGACTAAAAGCCACCTAATCGGGGCTGCGAAAATCCTTCGACTTCGACTTTAAGCTCTTAAAAGGTTGGTGGGCGTATGGCATACGCCCACCTTCGATTTATGAAGACAAATGAAGTCAAAGCAGGCCCTGTGCCTGCTAAGATTTTTACCAAATGAAAGTCTTGGGGCTTTCCAGCAAATGACTTTTGATCCCAGAGACACTTTTTACTCGTACAATGGCGGTCTGGAAATAATGCGTGGGCGTAAAACGACAATGACTTCGGTAATAGTCGGAGGCAGATTACATTTAAATTGTATTTTACTTAAAGAAATAAATATGATAATGCTACGTACTAGAAGTAGCAAACAATTTTTAATATAAATAGAAGAATTTTTATTAAAGAATTTCATGTAATTATGTGCTTCTTTTTTGTGGGAGTATTTGTAGCTAAATAATCTCAAGCTTTAGCTTGACTAAAACTTGATTATATTAATTCTTTGAGCAGTAAATTGTATCATTAAATTGTGGATAATCTATTTCATTTAATTCACAAGAAAAATGCAGAAATAATTTAAGGTTTTATTCATTTATTAATATAATATAATTCACATAATACTTTGAAGTGATCTCTTTTAAGTATTAAAATATGTACATATCTACATATATGTATATATTCCAATTTACATATCGCACGTCATACACACTCGTCCCATAAAAATCTGTCTGCCAATACGCAAAGCTTTCTTATCATAGGACCCATCGCTGACGCAATTTTTGGCTTTGTTTAATTATGATAAAAAAACAAATAATAATAAAACTTAAAAAAAAAACAAAACGAAAGAAACGTTTCACATTTTCTGTAAAATTTCAGTTAGATATACGTATTCCACCTGCATATCTATCCATAAGGCATATATGTACATATATATGATATGAGGAGGTGTGAGTGTCGTCGTCGTAATCATGAGCCCAGATATCTTTAGTTGAAAATTTCACAAATTAAATGCCATTTGCGGCTTCATTCATGCCGATAAGGTTGAAATAAATTTAATGTGTTTCGGTTTTCAAACCCATCACACACTCCGCGCTAATGATCGGGCCGGGCCACAAGAAAATATGTGAAAAGTGCAAAAAAAAAAAAATCTAAAACAAAATACGACAAATTATTCAATAAATCACAATTACTCGTATTAAAAAAGGGAAATTCTGCAATTATGATGCAGCGGCAACGGCAGACGCGAGGCAAACCCGTGCCAGGGCTAGGCCGAGTGACAGACAAGTAATTGGCGGGGAGCGTGGGGGAGCTGTATCATTAATAGTAATTAACGCTGATTGAACAAACTGTGTGGATTGTGTCAGTTCTCATTAAGTGATGTATGTGCATTATAATTAATGGTTAAACGTGCAGGATGCCTACCTGCAGATGAACCTGCAAACCGAAAACCAATTAAAGCTGCCAACTATATTCAAATGAGTCAGACATAAAACCCCCCATCGACTGACTGTCTCTCTGACTCTACAGAAATTATGTAGGTCAACAGTACAAAATTCTACCCGAATGTCCCACACTCTGGGCGACAAGTTGAAGGTTATTATATAGAGTTAACAGTGGCCACTCATCAATCATCTTTCGCCAAGCAGCACAATGGGAGTGACCCAAAAAGCAACTGAAAGTAAATAGCCCCAGCCAAGGGCCAGGCCACTCCGCTGTACGGAATGACCCCCAATATCGACGACGTACAGCAGCTGATATTACCCAATGCGAAAATCAATAACAAATGATGTTAACTGCCAATTTTTGCCACATAGGCAACGGGCAACTGGGTCCGTGCGAGCAGGGGTGACACTTGGGTAAATGTATCCAAAATAGGCGCATCAAATGAAAGGACCTTCGGGCTGGCTGTTGTTCTGCTACTATTAGGTCTTTGCTCTGCGTATACAAAAAGAGAATACGCACTTTAATCGCACAAAGCCGTGGGCGAACATGGGCGAGGGTTGCTTCAGGTCCTTGGGTGAATTTTTAGAGATTTTTAAAGCAAGGAAATTCAGAATTTTACATGCAAAATTAGTTAGTAAAGTTTTATCTTTATTTCCGATTTTAGATACATGTTCTCTGTGCTTAGTTCTCTGATTTTTGTGTAACCCATAGCATGCCTCTACCTTCAAGCTTTGTGGTTAAGAAAACTCTTTCCTTTCTTCCTTTCCCCCTATGCTGAAAAACTCCACACTACCCGGCTTGGCTGTTGTTCAAGCATACAGATTAACTAAACATAACTTCTATTTTCATGCTGGGATTATGTGGCATTCGCTTTGCTATGTGGAAATTCCATTTACTTTTCATTAGCCGCAATTACCTCCGGCAGCCCTCGCAGAAGTGGCATTCCCACAGCACAGCATTCCCAACATTCTCGCTTTTCTCTTGGCTTTTGTGTTATATTACACGTCTGTGTCCTTGTGCCACAGTCACAGTCCTACCCTGCCAACGATCCCATAGCTTTGAACATGGGAACCGGAACGGGAGCGGTAGCTAATGGGACATTTGAGCCGATTTTGTGTGTGAGTTTTTGAAAAAGCCGCCGCCGACAACACACAAAATCATTGGCACAAAACAAAGCTGTCAATTTGCCAGCAATTTCCCGTGTGTGTGTGTCGGTGACAATGGCAGCCGACAGGGTGGCGGTGGGGGGGTAAAAATTGAACAACGACGACAAAAACGCTTTGGGGCACAAGCACAGGAAATTGCAGGCATAACTATTAAGTGGCATGCTTCCAAGGAGAGGAAATGAACAGACCAAGGGGAGTCGAGTCCTGTACAACGCATTATCATTGGCCCCTTTTTTATAGGTGGGCGATAGTGGGGATCATTTTTGACTTCTGGCCATTAAATGACCCTTAAAATCAGCCACAACACCCACAAAAAGATCAAGGAAAAACCATGTGTCATTAAAATTGCGAGA